GTTGTTGGTTGTTCCTAGAGTCTCTAAACTACAATGGGAGCCAGAGCCTTTTCTTATCAAGCTCCACTTTTGTGGAATCAGCTTCCAGTTTGTGTTCGGGCGGCAGACAGCCTATCCGTTTTTAAGAGTGCACTTAAGACCTTCCTTTTTGATAAAGCTTATAGTTAGGGCTGATTAGATTCAGCCCCTAGTTTTGCTGACATAGGCTTAGTTTGTCGGGGGACATCTTACTTCTTCCTTCTCTCTGTCTATTCCTGTGTACTCTCATGTGCCGATTAACCCAGCTTCCCCAAATCTCTTTCTTTTTGGTGTCTATATACGCCGGGATCCGGAGTCATGGATGATCCTGCGGTCCTGTGTCATGGATCGCGAGTCCTGGATCTTGAGTCGTGGCTGTGGTCCTGGATCATAAGTCCTGGATGGATATCCTTGTGGATTCATCTTCCTACACATGCATTTCCAAACATTTGGACTACCTATGTTGCAAATGTATTATCTTTTCAATTTACACACGGCATCTATTGCACGTCTGTCCGTCCTGGGAGAGGGATCTTGCTCTCCCTGAGGTTTCTCCCATTTTTCCCTTTAAACTGTAGGTTTTCTCCGGAAGTCTTTCCTTGTACGATGTGAGGGTCTAAGGACCGAGGGTGTCGTATTGTCATACTGATATTCTGTACAAACTGTGAAGTCCCCTGAGACAAATGTAACATTTGTGATATTGGGCTATATAAATAAACATTAATTGATTGATTGATTGAAAGTTTGGAGTGCTAGCCAACAACAGCGCAAGTGTTAAGTAGTGATGTCACAATGTTACGGAAATAAAAATGGATTACAATCAAGGCTTTCCAGGCAGGCAGGGAGGGAGTTTGTGGGAGAGAAAGTCCCTCTGGAGGTAACTTTGAGATGGCAGCCTGTTCAGAGCATTAACATGCACAAAAATCTATATAACACTACAGGAAATCGAAATCCCCAAAAAGCTTATAGGGCCCCTTTAGCTATTTCAACAGTATTTTCATAACTCACTCTGTAAAAGTACCCACACTAAATAGGCCTCTTGTTTATGTTCCTTATCAACAGAAATATCTGGACTGGATATACACTGATCAGCCATACAATTATGACCACCTGCCTATTATTGTGTAGGACCCCCTTTTGCGGCCAAAACAGCTCTGACCCGTCGAGGCATTGACTCCACTAGACCTCTGAAGGTGTGCTGTGGTGTCTGGTACCAAGACGTTGGCAGCAGATTCTTTAAGTCCTCCAAGTCCTGTAGTTGCGAGTTGGGGCCTCCATTGACTTGTTTATCCAGCACATCCCACAGATGCTTGATTGGATTGAGATCTGGGGACTTTGGAGGCCAAATCAACACAACTCGTCGTGTTCCTCAAACCATTCCTGAACAGTTTTTGCAGTGTGGCAGGACGCATTATCCTGCTGAAAGGGACCACTGCCATTAGGGAATATCGTCTCCATGAAGGGGTGTACTTGGTCTGCAACAATGTTTAGGTAGGTGGTTAATTTCAAAGTAACATCCACATGAACGGCAGGACCCAAGGTTTCCCAGCAGAATATTTCCCAAAGCATCACACTGCCTCTGCCAGCTTGCCTTCTTCCCAGCATCTTGCATCCTGGTGCCATGTCTTCCCCAGGTAAGCCACGCACCAAGCCTTCTACATTATGTAAAAGAAAACATGATTCATCAGACCAGGCCACCTTCCATTTCTCTGTGGTCCAGTTCTGATGCTCACGTGCCATTGTAGGCGCTTTCGCCGGTAGACAGGGGTCAGCATGGGCACCCTGACTGGTCTGCGACTACTTTCTAACAGAACCAGCCTTAACTGTTTCAGTAAATTGAGCTACAGCAGCTCTTCTGTTGGATCGGACTACATCGGCCAGCCTTTGCTCCCAACGTGCATTAATGAGCCTTGGCCGCCCATGTCCCTATACTGACCACTGCAGACCGGGAACACCCCACAATAGCTGCACATTTGGAGATACACTGACCCAGTCGTCTAACCATCACAATTTGCCCCTTGTCAAAGTCACTCACATCCTTACGCTCGCCCATTTTTCCTGCTTCCAGCCCATCAGCTTTGAGGACAAAGTGTTCACTTGCTGCCTCACATATCCCCCCCACTGAAAGGTGCCATTCTAACGAGATAATCAATGTTTTTCAATTCACCTGTCAGTGGTTATAAAGTTATGACTGATCAGTGTATATATATATACTTTTCAGAATAACAATTCTTTATTAAAAGTCCCCTTTATAGCTTATTTACCCCCAGGGAGGGCATGTGTGTCTTATTTTACAGCACTGTGGACACATACAGGACATTATGGATTAAATGTACCTGTGATGTCAAAGTGAAGATGCCCTGATTCAGATCAGGCGCAGCTGTCTTTGAAAGAGGAGCTTAGTGTGCTGAGTGGCCTGCATCTGCATACTCATTCAGACAACTCCAGATTCTTAGACTCTCCTTGCAGAGCATTACACATTGCTGTCAATCAGCGTCCTCTTCCCAAACCCCTCGCCTCCTCCTCCTCTGTGTGCACTAAAACCAGGAGGAAATCATGTATTCATGAAACCCGGAATCTAAAACCAGTATTTATGACTGATTCTGATTCACAGCGATGAGACGATATTATTAGACACACAACTATGCCCTAATGGGGCAACATTTTCATTCCCAATTTGAGATTGCAAACACAGCTCTCACTCTCATTTCCATAGCAGCTACAGCGTCTCAGCTGGGTAAGGTTGTGGCTGTCACTTTTTGCAAACATTTGCAGAACACAGCTGTGTGACATTGTGGATCGGGTAGATGATACATTCTGTAGAAGGTTGGCTATTAGACAGTACACGTAATTACACACTTCTTTGGCAAAGTGATGGAGTAGCAAGTGTGAATCATGGAGTTTCATAAGCCCTCTTGAGCCCCGCTGCAGCTACATGGCAGATTTACACTGATAGTGTTTGTGAGAGATAATTAGACATTGAGTTATTACTGAACCACTGACAGCCATTCTGTTCTGAGGATCATGGAACAGCTCATCGGTCTGATGATGAGATTCTTGGAAACCACTCAGTCCTTTGATGTAACCTGATGCAATGAATCCAGTTGCCCACAGTACAGCATTTTACTTCAGCCATTTATTTTTAGACTTGATGCAACAGACTTTAATTCCCAAGTACGCCTGATCGTATACTTCTTCTATTGTGCAACCCCAAAGCATCTTTTGTTAGATTTGTCTTACATGGTAAACGCCTGTGTTGCACCCATTACAATGGTTATATTATCATTGAGTGGCGATAGTCACCACAGCCTGTATCTTGCAAATCTTTCGTTTCTGTTATTCATTAATAATCTCTAAATCCAGAGGAGATAACCCTGATCTCCCTTCAGATGATATCATACTACTGCTTTCGTATCCTTATGGTGCGGGAGGAATTTAACTTAATGGGTCAAATCGCTGGTGTTTCCCCTTTTTAATCAGACATTTGAAACACAAAGTTTTCCTGATGCTACAGTGATAGCAGTAGGAAACAAGTGAGTTATTCCTCTTTATCCCCGATGGACCATGAGAGCACACTGAGGTTTATACGTGAGTGCTTGCAGAATTATTCATGAGAACTGTTCTGGGAACAGTGACATAAATATGATTACCACACTGAAGACTGTAAACTTCATAAAGAATTGCATAACTTTTGGTTATTTTAAAGGATAATGCAATCGGATATTCAATATAGTTGTTTCCCCTATTGCCTAATGGAACTCCAGAAAAAACATCACTTGCCTCTCTGTTAGATTGATATGTTTCTTTATTTCCAGAAACATGGGCATTGTTTTTATTTCTTGTCATTCTTTTGTACGCAGTCCTAGTTTAGCTTTTAGATAAAGGTCCCCCCTTATATCCGTAACAAACTTTTGGATAAGGGTCCTCCGTATTGTCCGGAAGGGACTTTTCCAATATGTTGAAATATTGGAAAAAGCATACTATTTTAAAAAATCATGAAAAAAGTAATATATTTAATTTAAAAACTCATAGTATAGTATGCTGACAACAGTCATAGTAGTAGGTTGAAGAATATCATGCAAAAGTCAAGGTATGTCATATTCAGAAAAATTGATATAGAAGAATATTAACCTTTATTTATTCCGTTTTTTCGTTTTATAGTTTAGTTTGTAAAATAATATAAAAAGAGTATTTGAATAATGTCCAAAAGTTATAAAATGTTCTAAATAAGGTAGTATGGTATGAAAATAAAGTCATAGTATAGTATGTCGAAACACGAAAAAAGTCTAAATATATATATTATTTAAATATATAATGAAAAAAGTCCTAGCATGGCCTGTCAAAAAGAGTTATAGTAAAATATGAAAATAAATTCATAGTTTAGAATGTCAAAAAATATAAAAACAGTCAAGAGTAT